AGTTTTAAAATTTAGCATGTTTTCATACATTATTTGTTATGCATGTGTCTAAATAACAAAGATTGTAGTTAGCCAAGTTCTCGCCGTAAAGCAAGACCGACTCTCGCGATGCACGAGACTTCTGAGCCTGTGGGTGCGGGCCGAGGGCTCCTGCAATTGCAAGTGCGGTATTTCCCCTACAGACCACCAGGGCAGCCGAGAAAACCTTTGTTCGACCTGAAATTACTCATTTAATCATCCAAAACGTTATGGAACACATTAATTAACTGAAAAATGTTGCATAGTATGCCTTTAAAGGTTTGGTGTAGAAGCAGCTCAAATTTTTCACCATAGAGGCATCTACCTCTCCCTGATCAGAGCAACTGGTTAAAACTTTAGGATGTCTGGGCTCTTTTTTTTTTTTTATCCCAAGAAGTCTGATTTAAATGCATATCAAACTATTGACATATTTCTTTGTAATTATATATAATTTCCCATTGTTCTAATAAGGGGGTCTGCAAGCCTTGGTTTTTAAAGTGGCTCTTCATGACATTTGACCAAAATTATAAAGTCCTCCTTATAAAATGCCTGTTTACTAATTCATGTTATATTTGGATTAAAAAGGTCAAAACTAAAAATACCAGGAGTTAATTTCCTCATTCAGATCTTTTTTTTCTTTTCTCATCTGGCTACAAACAGCATTTTTCTTTTCCATGACATACGGAACATTTTAATCAGGAACGTTTGACTGTTTTCTCATCAAAGAAATTACATTTTCTATGTTTAAAACCTAAAGGTATTCATTTTTAAAACCGTTAATTCAGTGGGTGTTAATAAAAACCAGACAAGTGGGAATGAAAAATGTCTTTGGATTGTAGAGGTTGCTGACCACCGATCTAAACTGGACAGAAAAGTGGAAGTGTTCAAGAGGTTTGAATACTTTTGTACTAAAATACTTAAGCTGTCATATGGACCAAAAGAAGAACAATAGAATTTATGCAGTTATACATAAATGTTATAGTTGAGCAAAGACACTGCAATTATACACAAACCTTTCAGTCAATGCAAGGTCATTTGTGGAGGGACGGAGCGGCAACTGACGGTAAACGCAGGAAAAACAAGAGTGACAAAAAAACCACAACAGAGAAAGAAAACTACAAATCTAAGCTTAAACATAAATAGCTGTACAATTATGTATGTCTGTGCAAAATGACCGGTTGTCTAGATCTGCAGACGGAGATGGAGGTTAGTCACAATGGCATTTCGTTTGTGTGCGGGGGTGTGTGTGTGTGTTTGTGCTCACACACATTCTGCCCCTTCATGGACGGGACTGGAGGGGAAACCAAGGGGCGAAGTATAGGGCAAGTCAAAAAATGCAAAAAGCAAACCACTCGCAGCTGTTGCTCAAAGTTCAGGTTTCCTGTGTCGTTTCAGGAAAACAGTGTCAGGAGTTTCTAGGAAAAGGTTTGGGATTCTTTCCCGGGTTCAGCCGACGGGACCGCAGGCCCTCAGAGCAGGTACCGGCCCACCAGCGCAAAATAACCTCCAGACTGCTGCGTTGCAGCTAAATCTGTCCGGGCCTTGCTTTTATAAGAGGACATTTACTGAAGCCTCCGTCTCATTTACCCGGCTCGCCTCTGACATGAGACATTTTTACTGTAATTGCAGGGTGATGCTGAGCGGCTCTTCCTGTTTCTGGCAGAAAACAGAGGGCCGAATGACCCCCCCCTCCCTACACATTGCAGTCAGACCAGCTGAGCAGGACGGGACTTTAATGCCATTTTCCTTGAATATCCAGTGTGATTGTTTTTAAATCAACAAAGCAAATGTGAAAATAAAAAAAGATAACCAGAAGAATGCAGTGTTACATGTGGCTTTAAGAAACATATTTTCTGCAGGATTTAAATCTTTTATGGGAGGAGAAAGAGCACCTGATGGCTGCAGAACTTCAGTTTGGTGGGAAAAGGGAACATAATCCACGCCTACAGATCACAAATAAGCACAGCTATTTAACTGCAATGCAAACAATATTAGTGGCAGAGCGAGACTTCTCCTGGAGGATTTCTTTGGCTGATATTTGCTCTGTTTTCTGGTATTGGCGTCTCTATTGGCCTCATAAGTGTGTTCAGTGACCATGTCATGAGATCATGTGGAGTGAAAGCATTGTCACTCCTCTGCATTTGCTATGGAGCTAATTTATTCAAAACATGGTGTTTAACCTGAAATTAAATAATTAGAAACTGAAGTTTTTTGTAAAAAAAAAAAAAAAAAAACTTTTTTAAAACAGTTATTTTTTAAACTGCAAAGATTTGAATCTTCCCAACAGGGAATGCCTATTAAACACGTGTGAGAGCGTGCACGAGCCCATTTCTCCTCGTGCACGCTCTCTTCAAAAGTCGCAGCTTGCATCACTCATACAAACTTACTTTACAAAAAAAGATTTCCATTTTTTCCATGATGTCAGACTCACCACCAGTAACGGAAAATGGGGACGAACACGTAAACATGTCACCAGAATAATTGAAAATTAGGAGGACCACTTATTTTGATGATCCAGGTGGATCATCAAAATAAGTGGTCGCTAATCACTTAGTGGTCGCTAATCGCTAATCTGCTTTTATACAGATTAGCGATGAGGTTTTTCAATTATATACAATAATAATCTGGGCTGAAACAATTGCTCGGATTAATTGTGATCATTGAAATAATCGATTTATCGTCAACTGGATTATAAAACATGCCTTTAGCTGACAGAGCAAGCCAGTTAGAGCAGTAATTATATCAAAACTATTAAAAAATATATTATAATTTTAAATTTAAGATAGAAATATTTTTTTGTCTGTCAATATGCTCTTTCCAGAACTCCTCAAGTGGGAAGGTTTTAGTTTCACTTTGTTTCATTTCATAAAAAATCTTTAAGGAGTGTCTGGCTACCCGATTATTAATCGAAAAAATTATCAAGAGATTAATCAATTTGCAAAATAATCATTAGTTGCAGTCCTAGTAATAACATCAGAATATTGTAATAGTTCTGTAATAAGAGCAAATAGAAGTTTAATTTAATTTTAAAAGCTTCAAATATATAACTTAACACCCCATTTGTTGGGGAATTTTCACTTAAAACACGTCGGATTTACACAGATTACAAATCTCATTTGGTTCCTAGCTAAAACAAACACTGTCAAAAAAAAAGACTTTATTCTAAAGTTACATTCACACGAGATTCGAAAAATCACTGAGAGCAAACATTGAGAGAATATCCATTACTTATAGTGTTCCAATAGGAGGCTGGTTCTGTGCCTGGTAATTAGTACTAATAATGTTCACCTCATTTATGAGGCTTACAATAATGATCTTCTTTCAGTTGCATCCTTATAAGCTGTATTATACTCTAAAAATCCTCATGATACACTGAAGATGCTTTGCAACATACATGTGATGCAGGAGTAAACGGTATAAGATTCAGTTGTTTCTGCTGTAAGGTTTCTCTAATACTTACAGCCCGTGTCTTTAAGGCGGTTGATGGCGTTAGACAGCAGGCGGACACAGCCCAGGAACCCTGCCCCTTGCTTCTTATGAATCTTCTTGTGATTCCAAACACTGATGGTGATTGAATCCGATTTCCCGATGTACCTGAGGAGAAACAGAGGATAAATAACTCTTTTTTCACAAATCACATTAAGATGAAGATTAATGATCCAAGGACAGCGAGTTGGGAAGTTCCATCATGAATTTCATTCAGGATATCCCTGCCACGCCACCTCCACAAACAACGCTCTGCATCAAGGATGCCAGCTGACACGTCAGGGGAACAATCCAGGAGGAGTGAGTGAGGGTGCATGTGTACGTCTGACCCTGAGCATCTCAGTGTGTGACTGAGCAAGAAAAGTTTGAATCTTTAAATCCTTTTTACATTCCTAGCAGCACTGCCCAGAAAAAGCATGACAGGACTGGAGGAAGAGAGATAAAGAGCAGCAGTTAAACTCTGTTCAAAGACTCACCTCCTCTGCTTTTCCCACTAAGCTACCCTGAAGATGAGACTGGTGCTAACTTCCCAACTCTTTGGCCTCTTTTTAGGTTTATACTGCAAAAATGACAATATTCATACAGCTGATATCAACTTCCTTCATGGAGCAATCAATCCTGATCCAGATTGTGCATATAAAGGTTATGATGTAAAACTGTGTCGCTACGCCGCAATAAATGTCATTTAATCGCTGCGCAAATATGGAAACAAAGGCAATAAAAGAAAGGTCAAGCAAACAGAAGAGAAAGGAAATTATCTGAGGCTGCCTTTGTTGGTCAGAAAAGTACCAGACCAACTGAAAGGTTTAGTGGAGGATTTCCTTTTTCCAGGTGGATCCTAAAAATAAGTGGTCTTCTTAATTGTCAATCATTTCTGTGATATGTTTACATAAGGCCGTCCTACGTGCTCGTCCCATTAGCTATCTTTTTCGTAGAAAAAATGTCTACGAAGTGGACCTGAAGAACATTTCCAGAATTAAAGGACTAATGTCTCAGCATGATCTGGAAAAACTAATCCATGCATTTATTTTTAGTCGAATCGATTACTGCAGTGGTTCCCAAAGATTTTCTTCTGGGCCCCCCTTTGGATTAAAATAAAATTTCCACGC